CACTCATCCACAACATGATTTGGATCACCGCATCTAGTGCACTGTCCCCTACCCCTCCTGCGGCGTGACCGACGATCCATTTGCATGCGATATCGTCTCGTTTGCACGCGACCGGGTCCAGGCTTCAAGATCATCCTCTCCCAGTGTGGTATCAATTTCCACTCGACCGGCGCCCATGTATCCGGATTACCAATCGGAGCAAAACTCCAATCACGAAATTGAGATACCCAGTTCTCGGTCCAAAAATACTCACTGTACAACAGTTTTGGGTCGGTCTCAACTGAACGACAGACGGCTAACACATGAGAGCATGGTTTCCGATGTGTCTGCCACTTCCGACAACTACAACGTTTTCGGTTGTAATCTACCTTATACCTGTAATAATTCCCCAGTGATTTATACATATACAATATGAAAAAATTTAAATTTAATGGACAAACAACAAAGTAAAAAAAAAAAATATACTTACATGTTTTGCCCTCTTCCACTCGCCCGTAAACCGGTTTCCACTCCGTACATGGAGCTGTCCGCGTCCATAACATGGACATTATGAGTGGCGCCTGTCTGCTCCAATTGCAAATATGCGTTATAGTGCTCCGTAGCAATGGGAGTCCTGCATATCGTGGACTTGTTTTGTTCCTGGTGAAACAAATCCAGAGTTTTATGCAATGTGGCATCTACCAAAGCTCTGCACGGCAGGAACCTAACCCCTTTCAGCACGTTGTTGTAACTCTCCGACATGTTCGTGGTCAATGTGCCCCATCTACGTCCTCCTTTATTTTTTAACTGGGTCCACTTCTCCAAAGGAATTCGAAAAAGGAAATTGTGTGCCTCGGGATTCAATGCCAACAGTCGTTGTTCTGTCTCTCGAAACTTTCGCTCCGACAACTGCGAACCCAATTCCCAACACCAAGTCCGAATTTTCTTACTCCTGAAATTAGTCACCACGTTGCTTCGGAGGTGTCGAAGGCAAATTCGGTGATACGCAGCTGGTTCTTGCCAATCTGGTAATGATTCGATGGCACTGAGTAGGCCCGCATCCCTGTCAGAAAGAATGCAGATACGTCTCTGGAAGACTACATGTTGCCGCAGATTCCTAAGGAAAAATGACCAACTGTCCTTGCTTTCTTCATCGACAAGCGCATACGCGACCGGCAATAACCGCTTATTCGCAGTCTGTGCTACGGCCACAAGTAATTTTCCCTTGTAGGATCCACGCAAATGTGTGCCATCGACGCTAATAACCGGCGGGCACCTTCGTAAAGTTTGAATGGCGGGACCAAACGCCCAAAATACAAATTTAAATTGTCTGTCTCGAAGGTGTCGAGCCATTTCCCCACCCTGCCATTCCCACTCTACAACTGTGGAGGGATTCGTCCTTTGAAGCGCGGCAAAATACCTACACATTACAAAACAATTTCATATTAAATAGATAAACATAGCGACAAACATTAAATAAATATACTATATTTGTAATTAATTTTTGCTTACTGAGGGAGTTCTGCGAAGTTCGATTCCCAAGTGCCATACACACTCTCGATGGCTTTTCTCCTTCCGTGCCATGCCTTCTTGTAGCTGACATCCACTTTCCAACACTGTTTCACATCAGCCTGGATCATGTCGACACCGTACTCCAATTTCTTTCGAATCTTATTACGAATGAGATTTGAAATCATTTGGGCGGTTACATTTCTGTGGTCATTTCTCTCGACCGGTTGCATACAAGTGTGACTATCAGTCCATTCCGTTAGTTCCCACAATTCATGAACCCGTTTGGACTTAGTCACCCGAGCCTTCCACAGACAAGGCGGATCTTCACTAGATCTGCAGACCACTTTGTATGACTTTTGATTCGAATCATTTATCCGAACCTCCCGCAACCTATCGACGTTCCAAGCCATCAGAGCCATTTGGGCTTCTTTCTTGCTCTGAAAAACTATACCCAAACGTATGGTCTCAATGTCGCCATTCCAGCGTGGAATAGTATACTCGTCCGCATCTATCCTGGACGGGTCCCATTCACCCATCTCGCGGTATACGCGCCGACCACCACTAGGAAAGGGGAATTCTTCTTCAATGAACTCGGCTTCACTCTCCTCATTCACCGATCTATCTAATTCGGTTTCTGAGGTCTCGTCTGTGAAATCATCTTCACCGAGTACGAACTCTTCGTCACTTTCTTCCTCGTCCTCATTTGCCCTTTCTCTAATTGGTGAGCTTGTCCCTTCTCCAAAATTACGTAGATGAGAAGTCGACGTGCCCTCATCCATTCCCCCGTAATAAGGAGTAAAATCCTCAAATTGTGTGACCGGTGTAATTGCTTCCAACGATAAATGCAAATACACAACGGACATAGGTTCATATGCATAAATCCACTGAAGAGCACTAGAGTTATCGAGTCTTCCGGCAGTCCACGAACCATCGCGTTGACGAAACATTAAAGTAATCACTTGAATTGTCCAACCTTCTCCAAAACGACAATTCTCATTAATCATGTGTACCAGTTGTTCATATGATATCCTCCCCATAATCACAAATGAACCACCCGGACTATCCATAAATGAAACAAAATCTCTTAACTGTTCCTTCGCAAATCGCCAATACAAATTAACAAAATACGGACCATAATATGCCATTTATACCTGTTGCAAAAAAAACTTTCAATTCTTCCAAATTACAACAACACATGATGTCTAATACAACACCCAAAAAATTCAATTATTCTTTAAATCCATTTTTACTCCAAAAAAATAAAAAATATTCCCAATCGATTAATCCTCCAAAACCATAATATCCATAATTCAACAATAACATACAACATACAATTCATCTATGTTTCGAATAAATCGAAAATCCTAATTCTAACCCTAAATTCGAAAACCCAACAATAACAAACCCATACACAATTGATAATTTACAAAAAAAAAATTCAATCCTCAATTCAACATACACACATGATCGATAAACAATTAACAATTCCCAATTTCAAACATCACAACATTCAAACATACTATAACAATTACAATCTCCCAACAAATTTAAACAATATCAAAAGTTGAAATAAGCCAATATACCTCGTTCGAATTAATTAACCGGAAATGAGGTTCGTGTTGTTGTTGTCGGTTCACGTACAAGTGACGATTGGATCGAGTTTTTTTTTATTTTTCTTATTTTCCGCAAAGCGCTGCGTGTGGAGGATAAGGATTGGGAGAAAGGTTTGAGAATCGCGCAAATGAATGGAGAAGAATAAGATAACATTATTTTATATTTAGTTGTAAAACGTATTTCCGGAATACGTTTTAGAAGCATTTAATTGTAAAACGTATTTTCAGTATACGTTTTTATATATAAAAACGTAAAACGTATTTTCAGAATACGGTTTTTGAAACCCTAAATCAATTTAGGGGTTATATAAAACGTATTTTTGAAATACGGTTTAAAATTATCATTTTTTATTCTATTTCTTTTTCTTTTAAACGGAACTATTTATTTTAATTTCCAAATATAATTATAACACGTATTACGAGAATACATTTTTGTAATTAAATTTAATTTAAAAAACGTATTACGGGAATACGTCCTTTTGATTTTTTTCTACTCCCTTTTTTTTTTTTGTCCACTTCATTTTTCTCTTTTTGAAATAAATAAACTACTCTCAAAATTCAGTTATAAGTTATTAATTAATTTATCAATTATCAATAAGTTTTTCAACTTAGGTATACCAAACATAGCATAATAACTTTTGTGAAGATATCTAATAAAAATATATAATATATTAATATATAAAGAGACAATGATATTTACTTGAAATAGTAACTAAAAATCAGTAAAAAAATATTTGGTTTCCCGCATAAAAATTCAGAATTACTAAATTGGGTAATTTGTTTAGAAAATTTTGAAAAATTCCTCCTAAATTAATGTAATTAATGTACAGAATCATTTGGTCAAATATTGCGGCTATTACCTTAATTAGTTGCATGATTTAAATGTGGAATATAATATATTGACAAAACTTGCATCTATTACCTTTATTAGTTGGTTTAAATTTGGTATATAATATATTAAAACAATAAAAAGATATTTATTTAAAATTAAAAATAAAAAAAATAATTATTCATAACGTAAGGGTCAATATTAATTTGGACATAAACGAAATAGTCAATTATTTATTGTTCAATAAATTACTCAACTACTTAATTTTTTTTATTTGAATAGTTTATATAAAAATAAATTATTTTAAGTAATGAAACAATATAAGTTTTATATTTATACTTATTAATTATTATTTACATAAGTTGTTAATATATGATAAAATTTTACTAAAATAACTGTTTTATGGAATCACATTATAGCCAAATCAAAGTTCTAAATAAAATTTTTGAAATAACACTTATTTTGAAACGAATATAATATAATTTATTATCAGTTTTGTGCACCGCACGAGTTCTGTACTAATTTTAAATAGACATTTTTATGTAATTTTGCACAATTTAAACTTTATTTAACATTTTCAACAAATTAATATAGGTAAACTGTAGTACATATTGGTTCCATATTTTTAATTTATAAATATTATTTAATAAGAATTTTTAATTTATAAATATTAATGAATATCTGTTATCGTGCAATGCACGTGACTCATACTAGTTGCACTGTAAAATGACAACATTTTATTTGAATTTACTCACTAGCGGCTATATCGTTTTCTAAAGATAGAATTACGCTTTAAATTTACTTCATTTTAGCAACATTAAAAAATAGGGATCTAAAAGAGCCTTTGGCGATTTCATAAATATAGACAATTTTTACATATTGAGTACCAATTTTTCTTTCATTTTCTTTTCTTTTCTTTTTCCTTTTTTTGGGAAAATCCAAGACTGATTGTACAATAAGGAAATGCCTATATTTTATCATGTTTACTACAAATGATTTTTTATTTAACTCCAAAGCAAATTGTGTTGTTATTTTCTTTGCACTGATTAATTATTATTTAATTTCACTTAATATTTTTCTCCAATATAATGTGATTGACTCACCTAATAATGAGTTTGAATTTTGCAATATTAGGGTGGCGCGTGGTGTACATCACCTTCTGAGTGCTTGGAAAGATCAAAAGGATGGCTTGGGGACGTTTATTCCAGACCTAGAAGAGCTTATTTTGATGGGATGCTAGAAAACAACAAAACATACAATCCAGGTTAAATAAATTAAAATTATCAATCACTGTTATTTCAAAATTTGTATCCAACTTCCATCGAAATTTAATTGCCTTTAATTATACATCTTATGTTTTCACGATATAATATGAATAATAATGATGGTTGTATGTAATGATTTTCACTTAATTATTTCAGATTTTTATAACTGGAATAGAGTCTACATTGTATATTGCGATGGCTCGTCATTCTTGGGAGATGTTGAGGAAGTTGACCCTGTAAGTCTTATAATAAATTTGATCGATTTATTTTTGTACCGTCAATTAATTCACCATTTTATTTATTTATTCATTTGTAAATAAATGATGATAATAATCTTTACTTTGTATTATATTCTTATTTTTTTTTTCTTTGTTTTTCAGCAAACCAACGTTACATATAGAGGCTCAAGAGTCTTTGACGCTGTTATCGAGGATCTATTCGCTAAAGGATTGAATAATGCCGAAAATGTATGTTTTAATTTCTTTAACTAATTTACATCGATATCTTTCTTCTAATAAAAAATTAAATATCATTTTTTGAGAAATCAAACAATTTATTTAAATAGGTTATTCTTTCCGGGAGCTCGGCTGGTGCGTTAGCAACTATATTGAATTGCGATACTTTCAGTGCTCGTCTTCCTAATGCTAAAAGGGTTAAATGCCTTTCTGATTCTGGAATTTTTCTCCATGCGTAAGTCTGGTTAATTAAAGAATAGCGAAAATTTAATTATCATTTATTGATTACATAAATTTGATATATATTCTTGTACTTCATTTTTGTACTTCATTTTTATGTGTCATTTCATTAAAAGATAATTCTTGAATGTATACATTTTAGCTAATTTTTATAATATTTATTTCTCAATTTTTTGAATATTTGGTGTAGGGACTAGAAAAATTCTTGCCTGCATCATGCACATCAAAACGGAATCCTGGTCAGGTGAGAGTGAAATTGATTATAAATATCAAAATCTTTGAATATTTGTTTTGTTCCATAAAAGTTATATATGTTACCGTGATCAAATGTTATATTATCATTATTATTTATTTATTGCAAATAAATGTTTTGCTAATTAATCATACAAACAAAAACTTTTCAGTGCCTTTTCCCTGAATACTTGGTCGAGGACATTCAAACCCCACTGTTCATACTCGAATCTTCATTCGATTATCACCAGGTAAACTTTGGGTTAAATTATTACATGGAATATCTTCAATTACATTGTTACGTTTGATATATTATGATCAGTTTAGTGAATATATATGTCGTATTGTGTTTTTGTTTTATTTTATTTTATTTTACGACTAATTCAATATACCGTTATTGCAGCTAAGAGAGATGCTAACACCTTATATTGGTGGTGGTTATGACGAATTAATTCAACTCAAATAGGGATTTTTCAGGGTACTCAAATCTCTACAACAAATTAATTCTTCTTTTCTCAATTTGAATTAATTAACTATATATAAAACTACCCTAACAATTTAATTTGTGTTTCTATTTTCAGAATTTCAGCAAACATTTATAAATACATTGCAAAATCTTAAGTTTTCTGCATCAAGAGGAATGTATGTTCACAATTGCTATCTCCATACGCATATCTATTTGAAGAGTGAGTCCGTGTGCTCAGCTGTGGGAAAAAATACATTGGAAAATAAAGTGAGTTTAGTAATTTTATTTTTTTTTCTTTCTTTTTTTTTTCCCTCTAAACTACTCCTAATAAATTAATAATATTGAATTAAAATTTATCTAAATTTAATAATTTTGCAGTCGGTAGCGGAGGCCATTGGTGATTGGTATTTCGACAGGAGGTCTTTCCGTGATATAGACACCGTTGATCACGTGCCACGAAATTGTAACAGTACTCTTGACCATAACGCGTTTAACAAGACATGTATTGAGATAATTAAACAACACTAAATATAATAATACACACAATTTATGGCCAAATAAATAAAATAAACCTCTATACAATTGTCATTTATCATGTTCTATACGATTGTCATTTACCATGTACTATCTTAACTGTACTCTACAAGAGCAATACTGAAATACTATAAGCTACCACTCAATTGTTCACATGTATGGTGGCGTATGTAAGAAAAATATAATATATGTTTTTAAATGATAGGAAAATTATCTAACTATACCAATTATATTATATAAATTTGAATCTGTATTATTTTAAGCATTGTCAGTCAAATTTTGAAATATATATAATTTATACCATATATTACTGCAATACGTATCACCGACGATGCACTTGTGACCGAAACAGTCTTGTGGAGACAATGTAGTTGTAAAATAAATTAGTCATACAAATTTAAAAAATCAAATTTATAAATCGTGACAACCGGCTAGACGTGCACAACAATCCTCGAATTTTCACAAATCTGTAAATTGACAAAAAAAAAATTATTGGATTGATATTACCAATTTCACAAAATAAGACATAAGCTCATCTCCAATGCTCTAATAATAGTATAGAATAAATTTTAATAAATGTCAATAAATTAAATGGATTGTGAACTATGTAGAAAAAATATTAATTTTACAACTATGAAATTAAAAAAATATCTCCAATGCGCAATGTAATCTAACTACAATATTATCTACTTACCAAATATTAAAATGTTATAATTTGTAGTAATAAATTTAATTAAATAATTAAATAGTTTGGAATTGGTAAGAATAATTCTCTCTTCTCTTCATTGGATAGCTAAAGTGTAAAGGAGAATGTGGATGAACCACGTTTTTCTCCACATTGTAGACATTAATCATGTCCACATCATTACAACATTTGTGATCATATTGTACATTGGAGGATGAAAAGTTGTTACATTGCTAAATGTGTTGATGTGGAATATAATTTACCACAATAACATTTGAGCATTGGAGATGCTCTAATATGTAAAAACGTAAGAAACTGATGTCACTCAGTTTGTAGACTTTCCGAAAACTCCACATGATTTAGTGGCTAAAGTTTTGGGGTAATCATACATTCAGATAATCTAAGCAAATAGTTTGGTACAACCAAAATACAGTATTATGATCGATTAAATTCAATTAGTTTTATGGGTGTGATGAAGATCGTGTATCGAGTACTCGTTTTTTTTGAAAACCCGCGCTAAATGATCGTCGGTTAACACGAAGATTATTGCTCGGAAACAAGCTTTTTCTTATTTCTTAGTGCATAATTTCAAACACAATGAAAGTTTAGAATTTTTAAGCCAAAGAAACTAAAACGTTCAAACCTACTCTAGTCTTAAGAAATTCAAAATAAAACTGTAAGTTAACTGCTCGAAACCGTTGTTCCTTTTCCCTGTTCACGAGGCATCGTGGCGCGACAACCCTCGTTGCGTGAAGACCTTGGTGCCCTCGCGGCATGGCCTGCTTCCCGGCGCAGCGATCGACTGTCCCTTAGTGTCTGTTGGGTCGTGGCACTCCTCGCGGAGTGAAGACCTGGGCGCCCTCGCAGCACGGCATGCATTACGGTGCGACAATCAGCTTGTCCTTAGCCTTTGTTGGGTCGTGGCACTCCTCGCGGTGTGATGGTGGCGTGAAGGCTTGGGCCTGTTGGCTTGCTGCTCATGCCTGCTGCAGGTGGGCTCATTGCGGATAGCCTGTTGGGCCGTTGTCCTCATGCGGTTGTGCTTGGTTGCCCAGTTCGAATCATTCCCGACCTCTTTTGGTATATTAGTTGTACAATAAACACAATCTTTGGTATATATATTAAATCATACACTTTTACCGTAAAATTACAGACTATTGTCTTTTTGAAGTTTATATTTAGTTTATTTGTAATTTATAACATGTTTATATTATCAAATCTCGCTACATGACTAAAAAACCGTGCTCATATATCAACATAAACTATTGATTATCGTTAAATCAACATTGAAATTCAAAATTCCCTTAAAATATACACCCTTCACTTCAAATCATAAACCCATAAATTCACGTCCAAAACCCTAGAAATATACACTCAAAATCTTTGCCCATATATGTAAAGAGTACATAAAAAATACACTCGAGTTTCTCGTAATTCAAGCCAGAGACAGATCGGGACATACATATACATAAAATATACACTCGAGTTTCTCGTAATTCCAGCCAACGACAGATCGGGACATCGACGACATTTGTGTGGAGCCGACAAGCGAAGACAACAGACCGGACCATTGGTTCGCAGCCCGTACGATCACGACAGAAGATTGATTTTTTTTTTCTTTTTCAACACAAAATTTCAGCACAATCAACAGATGAATGAAACTCAATTTTTCAGCACTAAAAAATGAAACTCAATTTTCAGCACAAATTAAAATCAAACCTCACATGTGTGTGTGTGTGTGTGTTTCACGCAACCAAAATACACAGAAAGCACCGCCACAAGTACCAATGCATCTCCCATCGCCATCCGTCACGAGTGGTGGTTGGCCGTGTCGTGCCTCTCATCTCCGCCGCCGCCGCCGTGCGACCTGAACGCTTGCGACTCCGAGACTCAATCGCCGCCCACCCTGTACGGATTTATCCCCGTCAGCATTCCAATTGCCCTTCTCCCATCCTGTCGCCGCCGCCTAGCTGCTGACTCGGCAGCAGTGCCACCAGCGTCAGAATTTTCAGGAAGTGCAGCCCGCTCGACATTTAGTGTTGAACCTTGAGTTTTATTATTTATCATGTATTACATTTATTTATTTATTTTAAAGCATGAATCTCGTCAGTTACAAGATTCTTGCCATAGTAAGTCATTATTAGTTGCTCAGTTTCGAATATATGGTACATATATAAATAATTAAGTCAAGTTCTGTATAAATAATTGCAATAAGTTTTCTACTTTGAAAATTTGCAATTAATTTGAAATCACAACAGCACACATGTAAATTGGCCAAAATTATTATATGAATGAATTCCTATTTATCNAAATTGATCATGATCACAATAATTTACCTCAAGCCAAGTTGGTCATTATAAGTGAGATGCATACAATAAAAATAGCATCGAATGAAATTCTGAGCTCAATATATTAGTTACATACGAAATATCACATTTTCGTTCAAAAAGGTTTGGCTGACATTCTTAAGTCATAATTATCCTTTGTGAGCAGGACACAATCACATTCAGATGATACAGTATACACACATTGAACAAAAGGCAATCATCATTAGTCTTAGTCAAGAGGAATTTTCAGCAGATAATAAAGCCTCTGTCCCAATACTCCACATTTGACTCCATCAATTTCGTGAAAAAATTACCCGTTTTTTGCCATCGGCACAGTTGAGTTGATGAACAAGCGATCGAGCATAGGGCTATCTGAGATTCCCGAGATTTTAGCTCCGATGAGAGCTGACATGGCAGCAGGTGAATTTGGATTGCTCATCACATCTTCTTGCAAAATATCCCCTATTCGGGACAGAATCCTGAATGCTAAATTGAACACGACACGCGAGTAGGCTCCTAGAATCGAGTGTCCCAGATCCTGTAAATTTTTTATCCCATGAGAGCTAACTAACACTCACCTTGCCGTATCGTATTTTTGTCACATCAAAAAAAGTCTGAGGCAGATTCGGATACTTAATCTTGAGCTGATGCACGAGCAACTCAGCCCGGTTCACTAACCACTCGAATCTATCGAGCTCGGAAAGTGAATCCTTTGCAAAAGGCCATGATGGCTGAACAGTTGACTTGTTGTTGACTTGACCGGCAATTTTCTCCTTCCAGGCCAATATTGCTGCTTCCAGTCTGTTGATGGCTTCGCTTGCACCATGCTCGGATTTTAAGTTCATGCAATTGACCATTTCCTCAGGGGGCAGAGATTCGGCATTTAGTATTTTGTTGAGTTTTTCAGTTCTTCTCCAAGGCTCGCCTTTGCAGACTGAGATAGAGGATAATAGGTGAAAGATGTAAAAATCACAACAAACTCCATTTGAAATAATCTTAGCACTTTATATTTGCAATTTGGAATGATGAATTCATATTTTTTTATTATAAATTTTTACAGACTGATCACAACAAACTCCATTTGATATCTACTTATGGAATAACTGGTGAATAAATTCAAAAATTGGAATGGTTATAAGAAATTAATGAAATGAGTTCACCATTAGTATGATCCTTTTTTTCCAAATATTGATATCAAGGTGACAAATCCACCCCAGAGGATATAGTATTTGCAAGAACCCATAAAATTTTCTAAATTACCAACAGATCCATCCTCTTTGACATTTTACAATAGTAGAATGTTAAAAACGTTTTTGCCAAACAAGGAGGTAAAGTAAACAGATTCAAAACTCAAGGATTTTTTTTTTTTTGAAACAAATCATGAGGACTACCTTTGGGAGTGAATCCTTGACGGCAGCAGGAATCGGCATCTCAGCCAAGATATTTTCATTTATCGACTTTGCAGCTTTGAACACTTGATATACCAATTTTCCCTTATGCAACAATCTCTTCCTGTCAATGTTCGAGAGGCCGACTGCCGACACCCGCAGTCAAGGAAGCCACCACCTCATCTTCTTCCAGTTGTCATTTCTGCTTCTACCTTCTGCTTCACTGCCAACCTTAGCGTACCAAAACTCAGTATCCACCATTGAGTCTAGTGAATCCTATCAGTATGAGAAATCACAGTTATAAGCTTAAGATATTTACACAAAAGCTCCTACATTAGGTTATGGAAAAAACATAACATCCCTTCAACTGATTCTAATCTATTTTAAAGAGGAATCAAACGTAACGGCGTTTATAATTTAGATTGCTATGGTTTTCAAATTATCCAGTTTATTGTCCTATGTTTCAAATTAACAGATAGAAGGACTCTAAGGGGCTATTTGCAAATTTTCAAAGATAAACTGAGTTTTGTTAAAAAAGAAAGAAAAACCAAAGGTAGATTTAAAGATCAAAGTTGAGAGACCACCTACAATAAGCATGGAATCCAACTTGCACAAGGCCGGAAGATTTATATGGATGTCCCCTCGAGCTTGTGGCGTCATTATCTACACAAAAATTGCAAACAACCTGAGTAAGTACATATTTTTTGGCAAAATTGAACATTAATACATCACCTTTCATCTTTCATGTTTTTGCAATTTAATCACCATATTTGATATTTTGCAACTTAATACACCACTTTTACAATTTTGCAAATCGATACATGAATGACGGTTCCGTTAAATAAATCTGACATGGCTATGACGTGGCTTAATGGCATGTCAGATTTTCGTTATATTTTTGTTAACAAAACCGTCATTCATGTATCGATTTGCAAAAATGGTAAAGATGTATTAATTTGTAAAATATAAAAGGTGGTGGTGACTAAATTGTAAATACATGAAAGGTGGTGTATTAATATGCAATTTGGCCCATATTTTTTCGTTCAAACCTCAACAAATATACATATTTTTTTAGAAATTGATTAAAGAACAAATCGTACCTCTAATGTTCGACCATTAACGCCACCTTGTTTTGAGGGAACCAACTCGGCCATATAGTTCGTTGGGGAAAGCCGCCACTTCATTTCCCTTCGCAAATTTCCCTTTCTTTCATCGGGCAATGGCTCTAACTTCCAAAGCTACCCATATACGGAAGCTAAAAAAAAAAAACCGTACTTGAGCTAGTATAGTAACAGTTGGCGTGCTTACAATCGGTAAGGGTCTTGCCACAATCAATAATTTTGTCCGAGACATCAAAACAAAACCGTACTTCAATTAGTCCCTTGTGGTTCTTGCTGCATACAACATTCGGTATTCCGTTAACAAGATTTGATTTTTAATCTTCTGACATAAACTTATGATGGACTCTGTTTTATCATAACCCAAGAAATATTCCAAACCGCCTCCAGTGATGATATCTATATACGATTTATAATTCAGAGTTTTGAAAAAATACTGAAACTGAGATCTAGCATCATACCATGCTTCTTCCACTCATAGACCCAAAAGATTTCGTCGTCACCCAGGTGGATATCCGCACATTCATTCTCTAACTTAGCGCAACCATTCAACCAATTTCATGATGAACACTACATTTGCTGGATTTTTTTAATCTGGACAAAGGATAACTGACCCCATGTCAAATGACCATAAACTATGCACTGTAAACCTCGATTCTATCGGTGTTCTCCAAGGCGTCGACGACAACCCTGGCAGGACCCCAGGTGAGTACAAGTTGCCAGTATCCATGGTTGCGTATATGCTTCTTCTTAACCTTGCCCCAAGCTGGTGTTGTTATAATGGGTACTGTGGTTGTCGCTGCGAATGTTATTAACGTGATTGAGGCCAAGATTAAGAAGAATAACATGACACAACCATTTCTATTGGCAACTGGTACTCATCTGGGCCCGACTTTCACCTCGAACAAGGATCAGGGTTGTCGTCGACGCCTTGCAGAAGACCGATAGAACCGAGGTTTGCAGTGCATGGCTTATGGTCATTTGACATGGAGTCAGACATCCTTCATCTTGGATTATTAAAACCCAACAAATATAATGTTCATCAAGAAGTTGGTTCAAGTTGAACGGTTGCACTTGAAGTTAGAGAAGGAATGGTCAGATATCCACCTGGGAGACGACGAAAGCTTTTGGGCCTACGAGTGGGAGAAACACGATATGATATGCTCCCTCAGTTTCAGTATTTTTCATAAACCCTGAATTATAAATCGTCTATATATATCATCATTGGAGGCGGTTTGGAATATTACTTAGGTTATGATAACACAGAGTCCACCATAGGTTTATGTCAGAAAATTGAAAATCTTGTTAAAATAATACCGAATCTGGTGTGCAGCAAGAACCACAAAGGACTGATTGAAGTATGGTTTTGCTCTGATGTCTCGGACAAAATTATTGATTGTGGCAAGACCCTTACCGATTGTAAGCATGCCAACTGTGAGAATATTGTTAGTATACCAACTCCACCATTCGAAAGCGCAAGTTCAGCCGAAACACTACGAGCCTCGCCCGTGACATCATCGCCGAGCAACAACTTTGCGAACTTCTCCTTCATTATGTCGATATCCAAAAATCGAGCTGAAATGTGGTGCTTTTGTTTTTCGTTAAGGTTGAGGCACTTGGCCATAGAGGCCCACTTGTCTTTATTGAGAGAGGAAAAGGAGCCAAAGGGGTTAGTGGTAGTGGAGAAGGAGGCTGAGTCATCCTCGTCAAACGAGTCACTCATGCACCTGCTCGTTCTGCTCTCATTCTCATACGATTGGCTGTTGAGAATGCACGTCTCAAGCCCGTTGTACGTCATTATACTTACAAAGATAAATAAAATTAAATAAAGGTTTAAACTTTTATTATGAGTGGGGGAAATGGGCTAAATGGTCTATGGTTTGCAGTAAGGTACTATTAATTGCACAAAACCCCCCAGCTAATTTATTTTTAATTATGAAACTACCATTTCATATGCAGACACTATGCCATTGACTTGGAAAGTCATGGGAATATAATCTTGAGTCCAAAACAAGTGATGTGTTTAAGGTTTTACATGGCTCTAGTTTAAAAATGTTGTTATGATCAACCACTGATAAATGTAGTACAATGTAGTACAGAAGAGGCTTACAATCCTTCCAATTATTATTTGATTGACAGACAGTGAAAAATATAAATCTTCGAAGATTGTTAGGTAACAAAGCGTAGTTCATAAAAACGTGGAACAGCTTGTTTTGTTTCAGATTCAATTTTCACCTTTCTAGGAATCAAACTGGGAAAAAACATTCTTTTAGATCAATTACGAAATTAAGGGTGGTTTAAATTCTGATTTCTATTTTCCAATTTATGTTTGAAGCATACCTACCAAAATCATAAATTATAGAAGGAATCTTGGTATAAAGAATTTTTTATTGAACTCCAAACTATAAAGTCAAGATTATTTATAGCTAATGGAAACAAGACAAAACAAAACGTGAAGTGAATGGATGAAGGAGATAAAAAATTCTGGATCGATGTAGATCCAATTGAGAACCATGTAATTCTTTTAAAAATAAAAATTTCCAAAAGACAAAGACTCGTATCTCAATTACCAAGTGGTTAGTCCAGTATTCTTATAGCTAGGAATGGGAATTGTGCTTTTTAAAATTAACAATACAATAAATGATATTTAAGTTATTGGCACACCAATTATATTAACATTTATTTTACAAAAATACAAACTCATATGTGCCCCCCTAATAAGATGCTACTGATATTTACTAAGGAAGTTAGTGTTCTTATGCCGAGACAGTTATGTTGAACACTTGATTGAACAAAAATTGAATCCAGACCAGTGATTTAAATAGCGTGCGGCGAGCCGAGGTGACAAGGCTCCGATTTGCCATGGCGTGAGGCGTGCGGCGAGGCGCCCTCCTTATGAAAGCGAGGGGAACAATAATACAAAAAAAAAAA